CCCCTGCAGCCTGTGGTGAAGACCATGGTGAGGCAGGCTGCCCCCTGCAGTCCATGGAGGTCCATGGTGGAGCATCTGTAGCCCGGGGAGGACCCCATACCGGAGTGGGTGGATGCCTGAAGGGAGGAGGCTGTGACCCCGTGGGAAGCCTGTGCCAGATCAGGTTCCTGGCAAGATTTTGTGGACCCGTGGTGGGAGGAGCCAATGCTGAAGCAGGTTTGCTGGCAGAACTTGTGACCCCGCAGGGGACCCAACGGCTGGAGTAGTCTTGCTCCTGAGGGACTGCACTCCGTGGAAGTTATGGGCCCATGCTGGAGCAGTTCATGAAGAACTGTAGCCCATGGGAAGGATTCATGTTGGAGTAGTTCGTGGAGGACTGCCTGCCATGGCAAGGACCCCACGCTGGAGCAGAGGAAGAGTCCTCTCCCGAGGAAGAAGAAGCGGCAGAGACGACGTGTGATGAACTGACCTCAACCCCCATTCCTGTCCCCCTGAGCCGCTGGGGGGAGTAGGTAGAGGAACTGGGAGTGAAGTTGAGCCCAGAGAAGAAGGGAGGGGTGGGGGGAAGGTTTTTAAGATCTAGCAGTTTTTCTCCTCTCCTTCTCTGACTTTGATTGATAATAAATTGATTATTTTCAAGTTGAGTCTGTTCTGCCCGTGATGGTAACTGATAAAATGGTGTCTCTCTGTCCTTATCTCGACCCACAAGCCTTTTGATTTATTTTCTCTCTTCTGTCTGCTTAGAGGGGAGTGATAGAGTGGCTTTGGTGGGCCCCTGGCATTCAGCCAGGGTCAAACCACCACAATTGTCTGAAAGAAGTCTATTTTTAAGATTCCTGTACTGTAGGGAGCCAGTAAGTTGAAGACTTCGGAGACTCATATCTGTGTATTGAGTTTCTTAGACCATTATGGTGTCCTTGATTGGTTGCATGCTAGTCTTCTTCCCCCCCCCCCTATTAGCCAGATGACCTGGGTTGGTGTATTTGATATACAAAATGGAGTGCTTTTCACCCTTTACCACAATCAATTCCACTGCTGAATTTCATAGCTTAATTGAAAGGTATGACACTGGCTCACACTATCCCATTAACTTTTGCCTTTTTCAAAGAACAAAACCTGAATCTGAAAAATATTGCCTTGGTTCCGTGGATGATGATGGTATCTTGTACAGAGCAGTTGCAGAACATCCAACATCTGTTCCTAAGTAGAAGTGAACCCGACATTGTGCTTCCTGTGTCTGTTTAGTGGAATGTACATAATTTTGATGTGAATTTTGAATTTCCACCTCAAAGCATATAATGTAGAAGATTTTCATTCTAAGCAGATAACTCAGTCTCCTTCCATGTTAGAGGAGCTTCACATGGTATCTGTGCATTGCTTAAGGCTTAGTGATTTAATTTGTGTGTATGAAAAAGGAATAACTTTTTATGTTCTTTGCCACCAAGTTGCAGTGTAATACCATATGTTAATGTTTTCTCCTGCAGTTTTGATCACTTAAGGATAGATTATACCAACAACTTGCTAAATGTAAAGTCGTGAGCTCTTGCAAATGACAGAAATTAACACTCATGCTGTCTTTGTAGCTGTTTAGCAGAATGGGAAGAACAAGTCATAAAACCCAGCTCCATAGCAGTGTGTGGGGCAAAAGTCTGATCTATCCCTGCAGTAGAACACCAGTGGGAAGACTGGGATACAGACCTTCGCTCTTCTGACTGGACTGAAACATTTTCACTTTGTTGTTTTCATTTATTAGAAATCCTAGTCTCTTAGAACATGGAATAGGATTGTCATAGAGGTTCAGTACTGACCTTGCTCCAATTGTGGTGTTTTTTTTTTTTTTTTATTACTGATGGTAGAACTCACACTACGTCACTGAGTATTTCCTCACATTTCGCTTGCTTCTTATTTTACCTTCATGGCCTTTCATCAGATACTTCTTCCTCAGTTTCTTGACAATACTCAGAATAGAGCTGTCATGGAACAATATTTTTCTTAACACAAATTGTTCTTCAGTTCTGAGGGAAGAGCCAGAGATGTCATAAGTAACAATGCCTGAGTATTGTTGACTTAGTGAAGACAAAGCAAGGATTTCTAAATCCGATTAATTTGGATATAGCCATTTGCAATTGCGGTAGCTGCTGCTGAGCTTTGCATACTAGGCAGTGAGGGGAGACTAAGAATAGGGTAAGAGTCTATCTCCCTAAGTATGCGACTTCACATTCTTCCCATTTCCCTGTCAAGTCTGTTCTCAGCCTCTTCATAAGAACTATAAATGGGATTCCTGCAACGCTGACTCATCAGTCACCAATGCTCTTCAGTGCTGCTCTTTGGTTTTATGCAAGAGCTGTGTGTCCTAGAACTTGCTGTGTTTGTTAATGGGCAGTGGAGAGCAGAAGAGTTGGTTCAGGAACTGTTGTTTCACACAGCAGCAAGTGATCTTCTATAGATTTTTTGGATGCTACTGCTCATAAATGCTTATGTCAGTTTCCACTCATAACTGCATGCTCTTCTTGCCACATAGGCATCGCTTGAGAGTAGTCAACAGTCTCTGTTGTTTGAGTGTTGCAGCTTGGCAGGTAGTTTTGAACTGTTGAGGAGCTCCATGTTATTCTGTTGAGCTTAAAATCTCTGGACTCATTCCTTGGTGGTGTCTCTGCAGCCATTTTGAGAAGACATAATTCTACTAGCTGAATTATGAGCAGGTCTTCTGTTCTAGTATATTTAGTCATAAAATAAAACACAACTTGTTTCAAGCTGTGCTTGGTTCATATTCTTTTGGTATTGTTCTAAGGATCAGGTTACAGGTTGTTTTTTTTTTTTTTTAATCTACACTGTATTTCTTATAACTTGCTGTGCACTGTAAGCCAACAAAGTACAACTTGCCAAGAAATTATTATTTCAAGTGCCATGGTTCAGTACTGCTTAACTTGCATCTTATTTTGAATAACAGTAACTATAACTGACACTTGCTTTTTTGTTTGGGTTTTTTTGTTGTTTTACTGCACAATTGTGACATGACTGGTTTCCTGTTTGATTTACAGCACTTAAATATCAAGACACTGACAGATGATGTGGTAAGCCAACTTAAGTTTTGCTTTGGCTTTGCTAAGTTAATAACCTTATTGCAATTGAAATAACCTTATTGATACAAGAAACTGTCTTTAATTGTGAAGTTAATTTAGTAATTTGGCAAACTCTCGCTAAACTGTTAATTATCTGTACCATACTCAGTGCAAGTAGCAAAAATCTATGGATGGCTTTGAAGTATGCTCTAATCACAGCTAAATGAGCTTGACAAAGGTTAATTGTGCCAGTTTACGTGTGGTATAGTTAAGATATCTGCAATTGCATGTTTAATATTAAAGTTATTTAGGCTTCCTGGCTAGCTTAAAATACCGTGTTTAACAAACTAACAGTTGCTTGTAAAACTCGTTAATGCTTGCTTCAAACAATGTTAGGTATATTCAGTGTCATGCTAACACTGTTTCTCGAACTTCATCTGTCTCTTGAACAGCATGTAAGGTTCCATATCACAAAGCAGATTTTTTTTTTCTTGCTATTGAAGTTACCTATTTCACTGTCTGTACTATTCTTTTTGGAAGTAATAATTTTTCTTAAAGTGGATCATTCTGCAGTGTCTTTGATTTTACCTAGGAAGTAATATTCTGTAGTCATCTGAAGATCAGCTGCTATGACTTTGGTGCTATACAGTGTTATTGCTGAAGTACTTCTGTGCATAACTCAGAGTTTACGTGTAAAGACTTTCATGCTGGACGATGTGCAACACACTTGTGCTTAGGAAACAGCAGCGTTTCTCACTTCGGAACCAGTGGTCTGGTTCTTGTTGATTAGGTGTTCGAAGTTAGTAGTGTTGAGCATATTGCCTCCACCTATCATTCCTAGACTTACTTAAATCACCTGTTGCTGTTTCTTTACCAGAGTTTCATAGGCTGGAAACGGTTATTAAGCAACTTGAGTCTGATGGGTTGATAATACAACCTTGATTCTATAACATTATGCTTTTTCTTTGTGAGCTGAGGAAATGTTCACAGTGTCTCAAAGCAAAAGTATTTTCTGGTAACCAGAACTTAATCTGGGTGGTGTCATGTAAGGTTTACAGTCTGGATGCACTAGACCTTGCTGTTTGTTTTTGTGTGGTTTTTTTTTTTTTTCTTTTGTTTGTTGAAGAGGCTAGCTTGCTGCTTTATTGTGCTTACCCTTTCCTTAGCTGATTGGACCTGTCTAACTTGTAATGGTAGCCACCATGAGTCAGCAGGTTTATTGTGTTTGGTGGAATAAGGACAAAGAACCTGATAGCTCTGTAGTAAGTAATCTTCTTCCTCACTTCTTAAATTCCTCAGAGTATACTGGAGGCCCCTTCACAGGCTAAAGAAATGTCACCTGCAAAGTAGTACCAAATTGTCCATATATATATTTTTCTTTTTAAGAGAAATGACAGCTATTTAGTAAAAGGCTAATGGGGAAACAAACAAACAAAACCCCCACAAACACCCCCTCCCCCCCAACCAAACAAACAAAAAAACCCCCCAAACCCTCAAATGTTGCAGTGGCGTACACTTTTAAATGCGAGTATTTTGTTCACTTGGAACAAGGGTGTGCTTTCCAGATGACACTTTTTGTCCCTCACCTGAGTCTTCTGTTCGCTTAGTCTTTCTGTGTCTGATTCTGGCAAACAGCTAATAATGCTAAGCATCTGAGTCCTAGGCAACTTAAATGTGTCTCAGAGCAGAGTGTTTTTTGACATTTCATATGAAGCACAAAAACTGGCAAAGGTTATTTTCTCCAAATTCCTTTTGCAGCAAGGGGGGAAAATTGTAGTAAGGGAAGATTAAGAAATTGAAGGTTTAATATTACTTGATTTTTATAGCTTTCAATGAAATATTATATTTCCTTTCTTCTCATGGGCAATCATTTGCATGTTAACTTGCTCTCTGCTGCATTATGCTTTATAAAATATTTATATTTTATTACTCCCAGTCTGTTTCTTACAAAGACAGTGTTATATAGTGGGACCAGGAACTTTTTTTTTTTTTAAATTTAGGTAAGCTAGCAACATTTTGAGAGTCTAAAATGCAGACTGCTTTTCAATATTTGAATTGTATTATTCCTGAGATGCCAATGAATTGTTTACTTTTAGTGACAAATCCCTGTTAAGTTCAGAAACACCTTGGTTTTTACACAGTCATCACATGCTTCTTTAAGCTTGTTTGTTTACAAACTATGAAGAGAGGAATCTTATTCCACAAAGGAGTGGCAAGTAGGTATCTGAGAAATTATCTACCTGCAAATTCACTGTGGAAGCAAGCCTGTTTTCTATCTCAAGTGCTCCACATTCCAACAAATGCTTTGTAAGGCTCATAAAGATTGAAAACCTGCATATTAACAGAATTTTATTAAAAAAGATATCTTGTGTGGACAAAAATGAAATGTATACTAAAACTCCTTATAACATAAATTTTTGTTGACTGATTTCATAGCAACTCTGTAAAGATAAGAAAGGCTTTATAATTTCCGGTATTATAGAGAAACAAGATTCAGAATGAAATATGTTCTACGCATTCAAGATGTGTCTGTGCACAGGCCTAAACTCTGTAACTTTCAATTTTCTGCCGTTAGTTAAACGCTCTGCTCTCCAGAAAGGTAAAATCATATGTGGGAGATTGAGCATATTAGGAATAAGAAGTCATCTAATGAAAGGGATTTTTCTGTATGTCTTGGTTTATGCAAGTCTTTCTCGTACTAAAACCTCTACTGCTACCAGTGGAATTTCTCATATAGTAAGAAGTTAATCTTTTAGAGCAATCTGACTGTCAAAGAAAGAATATACTTTATTTTTTTTTTTTAATCTTCTGAAGCTTTGAGGAGGAAAAAGATGTTAAGAGGTCTTTGACTCAGAATTGTTGGAAATAACTTCTTTGATCTTATGCTAAGGGAAAAAGATGTTAAGAGGTCTTTGACTCAGAATCATTGGAAATAACTTCTTTGATCTTATGCTAAGGGAAAATAGTGATTTGCTTTTACTTCCAAAGATACAGAAATACATTGATGCAACCTGTATTCTCCTGTGTGTTCCCCATTCACTAAGAATAATAATTATTTCAGATAAAGACATAGGATTTGTTCAACTTTGTATTCTCCTTCTGATGTTAATGTTCTTCTAATTCTTTGTCATGTGTCTACACCAAGGTGTTACAGCAGACTTTCACAATTGAGCTGTTGGTTTCTGTGACTAAAGTGACTGGCACAATGTCTGGCAGATTGAGATATGCTGTAGTACTTGAGCACTCACTTTCCAGATGTGAAATTGTGTTTACTGAGTATATAAATAGTGGGCAGTCAAAAACATGTGAACTTGAAAATTGAGCGTGGCAGTACTTTCTGTCCTACAGATCTACAAGGCAGAGTGAGAAGGACACCTAGAGAATGAGCAAAGCTTTAAGCAATACTCTTGTCTCTATGCCTTCAGACAGGAAATTAAGATTGCGTACCTGTGTATTTCATATCAGAACTCTCCTAATAAATTGGGCATAGTGATAGTCATCAGTGTCTTGATGATCCGTGTGTGTGTTCTTCATGAGAATGGGAGCGGGGAAGGGAAGAAGGAAGACTGTTCAGTACTTCTAGTAACAGTTTAGGCTAAACCAGAAAAATTCTGTAATCCTGCCTCTTCATAATGAGGTATCAGAAGTAGAGATACCTAATGTGTGGCGAACAACATATTTCATCTAGTCAGGACTTTTTTCTGATACGGGGTTACCTATGCTTTTAGAATAAAGAATTTCCTGTAGTGCGGTGACATTCTCTAGTAACACGTACACTTAGCAACTTGTCTTGGGTGGAACGTTTGCTGTTCATGTGGTGAAAAAACGAAGATCCAAGCCTATTGGTACTTTGTAGCATTTTGATCTGGGGTCTTTAGGTTAATTTTATGCAGAGCTTTGCATAGGGATTTGGGATGGTAACAAAGGAAAATATTTTACCATATCTGTCATATAAATTTGGTGTAGATTGATCGTGCTTTGTAGAGCTGCAGAAACAGAATATGAAGAGATACAGTAGTGGTTCTTATTCTTGTTTCAAGGGCATCAAATCTGCATGATTTGTTTTATGTTTCATGTGTTCCAGGCATCACTGTTCTTTGTGCTTGTCCTGGTTTTGGCTGGGATAGATGTAATTTTCTTCCTAGTAGCCGGCATAGTGCTGTGTTTTGGATTTAGGATGAGAAGAATGTTGATAACACACCAATGTTTTAGTTGTTGCTAAGCAGTGCTTAGACTGGTCAAGGACTCTTTCAGCTACCCGTGCTCTGCCACGTGCATAAGAAGCTGGGATGGGGCACAGCTGGGACAGCTCACCCAAACTGGCCAAAGGGGTATTCCATACCATAAGATGTCATGCGCAGGGGAAGTTAGCTGGATGTGAGAGAGTGATCGCTGTTCAGGATGGGCTGGGCATCAGTCAGTGAGTGGTGAGCAGTTGCAATGTGCATCAGTTGTTTTTGTATATTCTCTTACAATTATTATTCTTTTCCTCTGCTGTTTTATTGAACTGTCTTTATCTCAACCCATGGGTTTTACTTTTTTTCTGATTCTTTCCCCCATCCCACTGAGCAGGGAGGGCAGTGAGCAAGCAGATGTGTTGTGCTTAGTTGCCTGCCAGGTTAAACCACAGCAGTGCTAAACCAAAGTGCAGGGAACATAGGACTAGTGCCAGAAACCTCAAATCCACATGCTATGGTGCAGCTGTTGAGTCGATATGTTAGCTTGGGTCCGGACTGACATGCATCTTGTCTAATCTGTCTCCAGGAATGAAAAAGAAAGGAAAAGTCAAGGAATCAAAGGCTGTGGTGGATGAAGGAACTTCAGTCCTTTGTTTCTTGTTCTGTATATCATGGGGTGTTTTTTCCCTGGCAAAGCCACTGTACAGTGCTTCTGCTTACCTTGCAAAAGGATAGCTTTTCTGTGAGTTTTTTAAGATCTTTTCCAGGACTTCAGACAACATTTTAGCTGTAAACTCCCATTGCTGTTGGTTATGACAGGCCTGCTTTCCTAAC